ACCCCCCCCGCGGAGCCGGGCTCGGGCGCGGGGCGCGCGCGCCGGGCGCTGCCGCCGCCGCCGCTGCTGGCGTCAGGGAAACCCCGGAGAAGCGGCCCGCCTCCCCCCGCCCTCCTCCCGCCCCGAGCCCCGGGGAGAGATTTCCCCTCACCTCGGCGGTCGGCTTCAAAGGGCGACGGAGCCGCGAGGCCTGGACGCGCGGGCCGCGAGCCTGCGCAGCCCCCGGCGCCGGGCCTCTATATAGGGCCTCGGCGGACGCCGATGGCCTCCGGGAGGAAACCGGGGCGCGCACGGGGTCGGCGCACGGATTTATGTGCTCGCCAAAAACAATAGCGGGCCGCCCGGCCCCGCCGGGGGCCTGGCGCGCTTCCCGTGCGAGGGGCCGGTGCACGGCGCCCACCTCCGGCTCCTCCCGGAGGCCCCGGCGGCCCCGCCGTGACCCTCGGCCCCGCTCAGACAAAGGTGCGGCGAGCCCGCTCCCTCGCGCGACCCCCCGGGGCCGAAGCGCCGCAGTCCCTGCAGCCCTCCACCTAGGCCCAGGACGGTCGCTCTGCGTTTCTGTACCTGGGAAGCGGAGTGTCTCCGGACAGAAACCGGAGCACGTGGGGACGTGTTTCAGCCACCTGGTACTCCTGAGGATCAAGCCCCCCGAAGTTAGGAGAAAACAAGCGTGTAGTTGACTGCGGGCGGCAGTGCCCACGCTGTTCTAAGCTGGTTCTTGGTCACTCCGGGTTGTTGGTGGTGCTGGATTTGGGTCTGCCCCTTCTGCGTATATCCAAGATGCGCTGAATGCAGCAAGAAAGACTGTTCTTTTTGCTAACAACACGTACACCCGCACATGCCTTCTCACTCTGGTCACTTCATATTTTATTTTACATCAAAGTTCCAAAATAGACGATATAAGGCGTGGGTTGACATGGGGAATGAAGAGCTCAGAAACCATTAAAACAGTGAAATGAGCCCTCCCTTCTCCCAGTTCTTTGAAACAATTGGCTTAAAAAAGCAAACAGTCACTTATTGTTTTCCACTAGGGAAACCATTTAAATATCTTGTTTTGGTTAGAGTTATTAACCAGAAAAAATATTTCCTAAATACCCCTGATGACCTGTTAAATTAGAAATAGATTACCTCCCAATTACTTCGCAAGTATTTGCTTAATTAACCTTTAATAATCACATCGTTATTCAGTTTTCTGAGATAATTGATGAGAAAAGCTCTTTGGAAACTAAATTGCCTTGCAAGTGTTAATTTTTGGCTATCTAAGACAGGGTTTTTTTCATTATATGAAAATTATGTATAATGTGACTTCTAAAATGAAACTTACATTTATCTCCAATCTTGAAAAAAATAAGAGTTAGAGCTAATAAAATAGCACACTGATTTTCATATGTGACTTCTGTGAACCATCTCATTAATTTGTCAGCCTACTGTGCATATTGAGTTTATATTAGAAAGTTTAAAGCACTTTCTGTAAAATAGAATGACTAAATCATATATTTCTGACTTGTGATTAAATCGAAATTTTCATAAAAGCCACTCTATAATAAACCACTAATTGATGATCTCCAGATATAAAAGGTACAGATTCTAAATCAATTCGAGAGTAAGACTGTAAAGTAACCCAGGCTCATACTTCAGTTCAGATCCTTACTCCATTTCAGTGTTAATGTCATTGACAGCGCTCTCTGAGAATCATCATTTGGAGTCATTATCCTGCCCTTTGTTTAGTGAGGCACGTCTGAGAAAAGGGTCTTCAGGCATCTCGTTTGTCCTTCACAACGACAACAAAAGACAAAATTTTCAACAGATACCTAAGTCCACATTTACGCTTCTCAGCAACATATTTTTTTATCAACGTCTGAGCTATAACTCTATGAAGAGATATTAAGCTGTTGCTGAAATTAACTTTTTTCATTTCAGCAAAGTTAGAAAATGAGGCCCATGTTCAAGGAATAGTGCACAGAGAAACTGTAGAGCAAAGAAAACAGAGTTGCCATTGTGTGCTAGTATGAGTTACCGAAGTGCAGGCCAAAAATAACTAGACCAAATATTTTTGTGAAATGTATTCTAAGCATGTTTTGATATAAAAAGTAAATGAAAATTTAAATCCTGTAAGTTGAAAACGTGGTAGTAATCTTACTCTCTGAAGTAAAAGGATTAGTTTTCAGCAGTAGGGAGGCAAGAGTTCAGTGCTTTAATTACAGCTGCTAACGAAAATCTGCAGCTCATTCCCTGGCTACATCTCAGTGTCTGAAGAGAAGAGGACTAGCCCCTAACTAGCAAAGCCCAGGAGAAAACACAGTGCACATTTCAACTAGAATTTACCCATGTCTTCAGAACACAATTAACTTCCTCACAGACACTGATATTTTTACATTTGCCCTTTATATTCCACTAGGTAAGAATTTTTTTCTTGCCTTTTATTTTTCAAAGGAAGATGTTTCTGATTAACTCTAATTGTGACTCCTTAGGAACAAACCAACACAGTATTAATTGCACTTTTATGTGATTTAGTCAATCACATATCTTTAGTCCAAGAACTGTTAATTTAACAAATACTGTTGGAGACCTGATCGTTTTTTCATTGAAAGATTGACTTTATAAGTTCCCAGGTACACAGCTATAAGTGCCTGTGCCCATAAAAAATAAGTCACAACTAAATGTGAATACCTGTTTTGCCAAGGATTGTGATAATTGCTGTGATAACAAAATTACTGATTCATCCATGTAACTTTTACAAAGCACCCATGGTGTGTGGGGTCCTACCCGCGTTTAGTGAACACAGGGATGAGCCTGGTTGACGAGAGTTTGCAGTTTAGCAGAAAAGATAACAATAATAATAAAGAAGTGTGACGGCTGTTTGGGTAAGGAAAGATAAGGCGTATGGGAAAACATAGTAAGAACATCTCATTTCACTAACGGGGTCTGCGAGGTGATGCCTGAAGATGGCCTAGCACTCTGCTTATGGAAATTGGTCTCAGGGTTACCTTTTATAAGAATCATTCAGGCTGCTTCTTGAAGTTTAAGTGGAAAGGAGACAAAAAGAAGAAAATCAATTCAGGTTTTATTACATACTGTGGAGAGCAGATGATGGTGGCCTGGAGTAAAGGAGGGGGAATTAAGAGACTTCCAACAGAGAAGAAGGTTTAGGAGAGATAAACAGACAGACAGACAGATGATAGGTGTCAGGAGAGAAGAGATGTTGGTGACGTGAGATTTAGCTTGGGCAGTTGAATAAATATAGAGGCAAATAGGTTAGGGACTGCTAAGTCTAACTTTAGGTAAGCTGGATTTAAAGTACCTACTGGCTGTTCAAATAGAAATGTCAGTAAACTGTTAGTTCTATGATCTGGAGTTTAGTAGGGAGGTGGGGCTGGGGAGATGAGTCATTAGCAAATACCACTGTATATGTAGTTTTTAGAGCAGTCCCATTTTTCCAGATAAAATCTGTTCCAACAAGATTATGTGGCCAGTGTACATATATAAAGGGAGTTATGACTAAATAATCAGGGTTCTGCTATAACATTTGTTATGTGTTAATAGTATGAAGATACAACTTTCAAAACAATTTTACTGAAACTCCCTCTCCCTCTGCTTTCTGTCGTCTCTGAGGTAGTTTTCCAGAACATATAGTCTGTGGTGGTTTGAATGAGAAATGTCCACTATGGGCTCAGGTATCTGAACGCTTGGTTCCCAGTTAGTTGTGCTGTTTGTGGACGTTATGGAACCTTTAGGAAGTAAGGTCTTAATGGAGGTCTAACCCTGAGATAGGCTCTGAGTGCTTGTAGCCCACCCCATGTCCTGGTTCCACTCTCTGCTTAGTGTTTGTAGTTGGAGATGTGATCTCCCAGCTTCCTGCCCTGGTCACCTGTCCCCATGCCTTCCCAGTCTCCATGGACTCTCGCTCTAGAGCAGTAAGCTAGCATAAACTTTTCCGTAAGTCCCTTTTCCCCAGGAGCACAAAGGTCCTTGAACTCACAGATAAGCACTAGGGAAACCAGGAAGATTAAACAAGCAGGGTTGTCTCTTCAGAGGCAGAGACGTATAACCTGTTTTCTGCCCCGCAGGCTGGGAACAGAGGTGGCTAACAGTCTAGGTGACCTCTGAACTGTCTGTGTGGCCAGGGGCTCCCGCAGGTTCCTGCAAACAGGGCCGGAGGTGGTTTAGAGACCAGGTGAGCTCTGTGCTGTCTGTGTAAGCACACCAGATCCTCCCCTAGGCCCTTAAGACGACACCTGTAGCCTGTCTATGGAACCTGTCTTCACAGAAGACGTGACATGTGCTTTGAGGAGAGGGTTGATGTGATTATGCCTCATTGTGCACACAGGATTGTGTTGCACTAGGAAACGTTTTCCAGATTGTTCTGTACTTCCATATGTAAGCCTAAAATAAATTGCCCCGTGCCAGATTCTAGAGGCGTGAAGCAGCACCAGCTCCTGAGTCATGCTGAACAAGATCTCCTTCTTGCCTCCCCTGGACCATCACTCCGCTGGCCACAGCTTTTGACAATGGTGCTTTATAACCGGAACAGACCCATCATTTCTACTTCCTCATTAAATTTGTGTTTTACCTGTGGATGCTGGAAGATTTTATTCCAAGCCACATAATTCATCCTGTCAATTATATTACTTTCCATGGTGAATTTTAAAGTCCTTTAGTGTAATGATATTTCTCTAAAATACATCCTATATCTGTGTTTCTTACTGATTGGGTTGCTTATATTTAATCACAAATGAAGTAATTTTGTGCTGTTGTGTTTCCTCTCAAAAAAAAGAAAAGGATTTTGTTTGCTCAAAGTAATTTAGAACATCCAGTAATATGAAGGACTTCTAAATGGGTTGACACTTAAAATGATTCCCTTTTCCAAGAGATTATTGAGCAGGGTTGGGTGGTATGGTTCTGTGTTAGGTTGGAGTATAAGTGGCAGTGCCAAGAGAGTAGTTTGAGGTTGCCAGTGAGGAAATTAGGAGAAAGGAAGAGGCCTGAGGACTAGAACTGAAGCATGACTAAAAACTGTAGTCTAGGACCCATCTAAAGGAGCACACACATGTGGAAGGAAAGGAACAAATAAAAAGAACCTTGAAATAGACAAACGTGTAAAGAAACCCCAGGACATTTGCTATCACAGAAGCCGAGGGAAGAAAATGTTTCAGGAATGCATGAGTGGTTCAGAGTGTCATGGACTCTGAGAATGTCAAGAAAAGTAGGACCTGAAAACCACCTGTTGGTCTTAATAATAAGGTAGGTGGTCAAGGGCAGCCTTACCAAGCAGAACTATCTCAGAGAATAAGGCCGCCCCTGGTGGTGTTCTCTTGGTAATGAGTGTCAACAACCTCTTGAGGTTTACCTGTAATGGGAAGGAAACATCACAGGTTAGAATGCATTTTGTTAGGAGAGAGGTAGTTTTAAATGCTGATGGAAATAGGAAATAAAGAAGAAATGTGGAAGAGTCTAAAGGGAAAGAGATGGCTGATAGCTCTGGAAACAGTGCAGTAGATGATCCTGTGACTAACTGAGCCAGGACCATGATTATCAGACCTCAGAGGTCTCAGGCAACTACCACTGGGCAAAAAGACTTCACAGCACAGAGTTACACCCTGGTCCTGTGGATGTCAGGCAGCTTCCAGCCGTATTTGAACATAGTTTGCTCTTGTGGCACCTTAATGAAGTTTGAAAATAAGGGGCGACATCCTGCTGCCTGCTGTCTTCTCTTCTCAAAGCACACATAGTTGCATCCTAAGAGATAGCAGTCATGAAACAAGGCAGGCCACCTTGTCAGCAAGAACTTGCTTTTTTGGTTACATGTAACTAAAATCCTAAATTCTACCTTAAGAGAAAAAACCCTGGCATGTTTTCTTTCCCCTCCCTCTCCACATACACTTTTGACAAGATCTCACTGTGTAGCTCCAGCTGACCTTGGATTCTCTGTGTAGACCACTCTGGCCTCAAACTCACAGAGATCCACTTACCTCTGCCTCCCAAGTGGTAGGATTAAAGGCAAGCGCCACCATGCCTCCTTGGTCCTTTAGACAATGGTCCAGATGAGCCTCTGAGGACACTAATGAAGCCCACAGAGTGCAGTCTTTGGGACCCTCTGTCGTGCACCTCCCTGCCAGTGCGTATACAGGAATGCTTTATGCTCGCATAATGGCTCTTTCTGTGCCCGAGTCCACATGACAGTCAGTGACTACTGCCCATTTTCAAGTGACTCTGCTGAAGTCTGATTCCGAATCAGTAAGAAATACATTTAACATGGATTTAAAAATTACTTTAAAGGAATATCTTCACTTTTCCAAGTGTTGCTTGTGCAAACTTCCCAATAAACAGATTCATACTGAGCACTGTCTGCCCACCTGAAGCCACTCAGGAAGGCCGCCGCATGGACATAGTAACATGGCAGCCTCCGCCACGACCAACCAGCAATGGATGAAAGCACGGTTCATAGGAACTACAGTCAA